TCCACACATGTATGTGTTTCCACATGAGGTACATTCCTGCTGTTTGGTCAGAACAGACAATGGAACCCCCATATCTTCAACCGCTAGAGTCCCAACCTGTTCCCCCCCCCCCCATATCTTCAACCAGCGACCTCCAAAGCCATGGCCGACAATGTGGCTCATACCTCTCAAAGCAGGCACTTGTACCACAATGCATTGGACACAAAGCACAGTCGATCTTACCATGCTGTTGTGGATGAAGTCAGAGGAGAAGACACTTTACTTGAACTGACAAGGAGAACAGCGATATCATACACATTTGAAAGGCCCTTTACTTGGGGCAAGGTTCCAGTGCAAAGCAGGAAAATTACAGAGCAAGGGAGTAAGTCTACTTATAATGGTGGGTTTGCGCGACTTTGCACTCTTTGCCTCAGGGAGAGAATAGCTGTAAAAGGAGCACAGGGTCACCACAACCAGTGCGGAAAGTAAGTCGATCAAATGCCCCAATCTGCATGTCAATGATCATGTACTCCAACAACAAAATGCTCGCTGGAAGTTATGGGGCTAGTTTAAAGGCCACAAGATTTGTAACATGCACCCATCATAGGCTTAGGCCGCTTAGCGTGTGCAAGTCTAAATCAGCATGTCAATAGTCGTGAACTGGAGATGAAAAAAACCTCGCTGACCATGCTGGGCAACCCACAGATTTCTACTAATAGTCCGTTTCCAACTATACAGCCGCACCCACTTTTGAGCTGACATTCCGAAATTTTTGGTCCTCTATCCGGTATGGATGCGTAATTCAATCACATGTCCCATCGCAATTCGTAGATGCGTACAGGGATGAATTGCTACGAATAACCCATATTATTGCAGGCAAGACGATGAAAGGAATGACAATGCGTACGATCCTCTGTATGGTGCGCTTCGGAGATGTGTACAGGGGTGAATCATTATGAATAATAATCAATATTTCATATTATCGCAGGCAGAATGATGATGTGAGAGGAGTTCAAAAGCCAGTCAGAAACTCATAGAAATCTCAGCACGACTGCAGTGACGGCCAACCCCCGCCCCCCCCCCCCCCCCCCCCCCCCCCAAAACAAAAAACAAGGGCCAAGGCAAAAAAACGGTCATCAAGACTTCTTTGCCGCTGCATTTGTCCGCAAGGTGATGAACTTCCCCTCTGGTGTCTCCTGGATTTTTGAGATCCTTTTCAGGATTGCTGCAAATTTTGCACGCTCCTGCACACGGGGGAATTGAGAAACAGCAACATCACAGATGCCATCATTATCTCTTCAAAAACGATAAACAGCAGATGCACAGGACCAAAGTTCCATCCAGCTGCGAAGGAAGGGGAAATTGACAAGGAGATAGATGGGAGAGAAACAGCTGCCTGTCTACTGACCCCAAACACAGGTAAGCCATGGGAAGTCCAACACACATCAACAACTACAAAACACCAACGACGTTGAACCTTACAGCCATAGACCCGCACCAGACTCTTTCCCATATGCGTTTTCATAAACTAATAACCGAACAGTAAACCTTTAAAACGGCTTTCATCCCCTTGCGGTGCTTGTGGGGCGAGACGCGCTATCTGTTCCAACCCACTGATTTGGCTGGACGGCCGTTTCTGGACTGTGCCAAGGCGCCCCCGAACAGACCGAGCCCCATCCCGAGACGGAGCCCGCTCAGACTTGGTCAGGGACGATTTTTGGGTTCGGGTCTTGAAGGCTTGGCGCCAACTCCCATTGCCTGACAGGCCTTCGCCGACAAGGTGGGAGGAGGTGATGCGCCAGCCTCTTTTCGGGAACAGGAGGATTACTGACAGACACGGCAGCGTATATTGTAGCTTGGACACTCCATGGAGCAGCTGGGTAAAAAGAGGCATAATCCGAATAAAGGACATATGGGACACAGAAAAGGGGGACTGGAAAACAGCGCCGCAGTTAAAGACCGTACTAAAACACTGCCACAAGGTCCAGGAAAATCTAGACCTGCTAATTTTTGCGGCTGCCCTGGACTGGGTGCGTATATTGCGCAGAGAACCGGGTAGCCACCCCGGGGGACCCGGAAAGTGTAGGCAACGTGGTAGAGGTGCAAACAGATGAGAACTGGTCAACCTCTTCCACATAGACAAAGATAATATCCTCACCCGATATAACCCAGAAGCAATGAGATGGTGTAGAAATTTGGACCTTCACAGGATCCTTTAGTGAGAATCGAAGCAAATAATAATTTCAATCTTTTTTATCTTCTAGCTTCGAAAAAAACATCTGTACAARCTTCTAGTCTTCATCCAGTTTTGTTGAATTTAAATAATAATGTGAACGGTTTTTTTGGTAAACATTCTTCTATTTTAGAGAATTTGGAACAATTATCCGGTGCTGCGGGAAAAAGATGTGTGGGTAGCTTACCAGCCAAAGACCCCCGTGAAAGAACTCCCCTTCGACCCCGAGGAATGGCAGTGGGCCCCTCCGCAAAAATCTAAAACAGGTGAGAACCGAAAGTTGTACACTTTGACGGTGAAGGCCACATACCGGCTGGTACGACCAAAGGTGAACATAAAAGAAAAGGTGAATGTAGGAATGGAGACACTCCGCCCCATCCGATGGTTCACCGCCACAAGGTCTAGGCCAGCGGAGATGGCCTTGCTGCAGTGGCAGATCGAACATCGCTGCCTGCCCATGAATAATTGGCTGATCGAGCGTACACAGCTGGAGCAAAAGGGGCGGGCGTTACCATGGTGTAAATTGTGCCACACTGCGTTCCCCTCCCGCAGAATTCTGGAAACCATAGAACATATATTCATGCAATGTCCAGGGGCAGTTCTCACGTGGCGATGGTGGGACAGGATTTGGACCCTACTGGCCTCGGAGTCTAACAGGCCATGGGATTGGAGGGCCATACTATGTGAAGCATGGTCCTCCCCCACTGAAAATACTTTTGAAAAGAAGGGCGGTGATGTGGGCCCTCTGGAGAAAAAGCTGCACACATACCCTTGAGGGTGTCCGCATAGAAGGGGAAGAGGTAACAGAGACAATAAAGCAATATATTCAGCAAGAACTCATGGTACAGTGGCAGAAGGTTAAAAACCGACTCGACCTGTTTCACTCAGCACAAGATATAACACGAGCAATTCATCAATTCTCTGGGGACTGGTTGGGCAGTGAGAAGGGGGGCTGGATTGCAGGTGTTAGATGGGATGGAAAGCCGGCCCAGGGGTGCAACCAGGAGGAGTTCAGGAGAGACTACCGGATCTGCTTCAAGGATTGGACCACAGTGGGTCAGGAAATCCCGCTGAGGCCTGCAACAGATTTTCCGAACCCCTTCCCCCCCCACCAGCTGGCAATGGTGGATAAGCAATGGTATTTAGCGGACTGAATGGGCAATGCACAGCCATGGAGCGGACATGAGAGACTACAGGATCTGCATCAAGGATGAGACTACAGTGGATCAGGAAATCCCGCACAGACCCGTAACAGTTTTTCCTGCCCCCTTCCCCCTCCACCAGCTGGAAATGGTGGACATGCAGTTTTTCCTGCCCCCTTCCCCCTCCACCAGCTGGAAATGGTGGACATGCAACGGTATGGAACGGACTGAATGGGCAATGCACAGCTACGGAGCGGACTGGTACAGTTGAATGAATAAATGGAAAGCTGGTGGGGTAATGAAGTTGGTGGTGGCAGAAAGGGGATGGGAGGAACTCGGGTGTAGCAGCAGGTATCTGGCGCCACGTTCATGGTGAAGAGTTTCCCCCCCCCCCCCAAAACATCCTGCACAGTCAATCCCCTGGACTCCATTCCGCGTCTCTCGTTTATGATATGGCTCGAATTCTGTCCATGTAAGGGACGCTGGACCCGGTTTCCAGAAGCTTGCAAGAAACCTGATTGTTCACAGCTTGCTCGAGAGCATCAAACCGCATGCATACATGTCATCACACGTACAAAGTGGCCTCACACAAAACCAGATTGAGAT